GGAATAAATCAGCTCGGGGCCCCTGCTGATGGTCATTACCCATCCAGAATATGTTTCAATGTGGATGTTGGTCAGGCTGTAGCACAGAAACAGTGGTTCTGCTCCATTGAGTCTCCCCTCATACTGGCCACTCGCCTCCCCACCTCCCCCATACAGGCCCAAATAGCAAGCTGACAACTACCCAGCTCCCAACTGGAGAATGGCCAGGATGGGGTGTGCTACTGCTTGCCGTGGAATCAGAACTCAACACGGCCTATTGCCGGCAGGGAGGCAAGTGAATATCTGATAACAACAACTTGCATTTGTGTAGAAACTCTGAACCATTGTAAAAAATTCCAGGTCACTTCACAGAAACGCTATCAGATCGATTTTTGACACCAGACCGTGCTTGGGGCTGCTGCCTTAAAGCTTGGTGAAAGAAGCAGGGTTTTTAAATGTGTTTTGCAAAAATAGCCAGAGCGAGGTAATAATACAGAGAGGCTGTAGAAGGTCCCTCCAGAGTTTAGGGTCCCGGCAGTTGAAACACAGCAGCTCATGAGGTATTGAGGTGGAGGGGAAGGGTTGAGAATCGAAGGGTATTAGGACTTGGTTGTATTTTGCTAATGAACCCTTCCCTTTAAGTACACAAAGCGTTTGCCCATGAATTGCATCAATAGGATGATAGCTTTCACATCCGCACCGAGTACACATGGGTGTGGTCAGCCAAGAGTTGTTGTACAAACTGCACAGCATTGTCCGTGAGGCCAAAAATATAACAGTTTACAACATTATCCGAAACTTCAGTCGCTGCTCATTCTATATATGAACTGCAGAAATAACTACAAGTCACATTAGACATAATACTAAATGTAACTGTGTGAAACCTAGGCCAGAAACCTAATTAAATGCTACACTATAAAGCACCAAGACCTCACCTTAACCAAATTAAACTAAGTGAAGGTGCACTTGTGGACAATGTTCAGACTTAGGTTGAGAAATAGCAAGAAATATTGCAGCACAAAAATGCTAGGCAGTGACTGTCTTTGACAAGTGAGAATCTGACCATTACTCTTTGGTGTTCAATGGCATTACCAAGACTGAATCCCCCATTATCAGCATCCTGGGGGTTACCATTGACCACAAACCCATTTAAATACTGTGGCTACAGCAACAGGTCAGATGCTCAAAGGTTTGTAGCAATTAACTCACTTCCTGTCTCCTCAATGCTTGGCCACCATCTACTAGGTCCCTAGGGGTGTGAAGGAATACTCTGCACTTGCTTGGTTGAGTACAACTCCAACAGCACTCAAGAAGCTCAACACCATCTCGGACAAAGTAGCCCGCTTGATTGGCACGTTATCTAACACCTTCAACATTCACTCCCTCCACCACCAACGCACAGCAGCAGTAGTGTGTACCATCTACAAGATGCACTGCAATAACTCATCAAGAATCTTTCAACGGCACCATTCAAATTCATGACCTCTACCAGCTCGACGGATGAGGACATCAGACAGGTGGGAACACCACAAGCTGCAAGTTCCCCTCCAAATCACACATGATCCTGATTTGGAAATATACTGCTGTTTCTTCACTGTCATCATGTCAAAATTCTGGAGCTCTCTCCCTAACAGCACTGTGTATGTATCTGCACTATATGAAGTGCAGAAATTTAAGAAGGCAGCTCACCATCACCATCTCCAGGACAGTTAGACATGAGCAATAAAGTCAATGACTCCCATATACCTCATGAACAAATTGAAAAAAGAACCATTTACTTTCAAAGCTGCTTCACTTTAATATTCTCCTTGGCTGTCTGCTTTGGGTGTGGTATTTCAGTCTCCCATACAATGTTTAAGTGGCTGTCATTTCTGTGTGCACTTTCGCTGTGAGCAGCAGTATGTTTTCTGCCCTCCACAAATGAGAGTTCACAAATGGACTTGCTCATATTCTTGGGCCATTGTCTAGTGACCAGCAGCAGGATGTTATTCCTGAAGTCTGGGGACACAGGATAATTGTAACCCCCAAATTGTTGAGCCAGCTAACGTTGCAAAAATTGGGAATCAAACTAGGCAGCTTATGGCTTGTGAGCTGAACAATGGCTGCCTATACTTACTAGACTGTGGCATTATATTTTAATCAAGTATTGCTTCCAGTGCAGTATGAACACTATCTGCCTCTTCGCATCAGGTTAGTGAGAGCCATCGCTGACTAACGCTGATAAATATTCATCATACTGTGATATAAACTATGTGCTATCATAGCTCACTCCTGATGATGTTTATATCGTCTGAAGTGAAAGCCTCACAGACTTCCTAAACATTTGAAAAATATACTAAATAGTTGCTCGGCTGAGATTGAATGTGTACATCAAAGGAAAAGGGTCTAGGCCCACACTGCAGTATCCCCATTGTTAAAAACAAAAGAGAAGTGTTTGCTCAGAGACTAATAATTTTGTGATACCAAGCTTTATATTTAAAAATCTTGATGATTGTGCAAGGAATGTGACTGAAGAACACAAGGAGTTCTACAATGTTTGAGATATTGGAAATAAGTTAAGAGACAGTGCGAGGAGTTTGTGAGGAGAAGGGACAAGTTTTCATTTCAGATCAAGCTTCCAAGACATTCAAATATCTTTTTTGCCAACGGAATAATTTTTCCAACACAGTATAAGTAACAGAAACAGTTAACTGGAGTCTGAACAGGAACAAAAATGGCAACATTCCTATTAACTTTTTAAGTCTTCAAAGTTGTGACAAGTTTGGTCACCCCTCCCAGAGGGAAGCTAATGTTTGGGGAAAGTAACAGACAAAAGGGAAAAAGGAAGGAGAAAAATCCCGAATAGATAAAGAAGGATGGGATGTAGAATAATGGGTTACTTGTGGTTGTGTTACTTTCAGTAGAACAAGCTGCAGGAGAGGAGGAAAAATAAGGTGGAACATTTGCAGGCGTATGTATCTGAGGTTTTCACCTAAATCTACTAACTCATGGCCTGCTGTGCCAGATAGTGAGTGAATGCAAAGTGTATATCTGCATTAGATTCTTTGGAAGTGGTACAGCTTGGGGCTCATGCTAGCTCGACTACATCTATAAGTTGCCAAATAGGCCACTGCTGTTTGTGGGGTGTCTTGGAAAGAGTCAGACCTTTCTCATTTACTCCGACCACTGCTTTGGTCTTGGGAAAAGTCACGTCCCAGACATAAAGGGACATATTTTGTTCTGTTGAGTGCCATCAGGTGGCAGAAGAACCGTGCTTTGTCCAGTGCTACATTATTAATGTACCTAGTACACAGGAAGGTAATTGAGTTAAATTGTTCATCTCAGTCCCAGGGCATCTTTGCAGGAGTTCCCCAGGATGCTGAGCTCGACAGCCATCTTTAACTGCTTCATCAATGACCATCTCTTCAGCACAAGGAGAGAAGTGAGGACACGTATTGATGATTATGTCATGTTCAGCATCATTTGCAGTTCCACAGATATTGAGGCAGTTGTGCCCATAATCAGCAAAACCTGGACAATATTTAGGCTTGGGCAGCTAAGTGGCAAGTAACATTTCAAGTCACGCAAGGATGAGTTAATGACCATTGCTGAAAAAAGAGAACATAAGCACCTCCTCTTGACCATCAGTAGTATTATCATTAAGATCCTGAATGGTCACCATAGATTAGAAACTGAACTGGAGTAACCACATAAATATAGAGGTTGCAAGAGCAGGTCAGAGGCTGAGAATTCTGCAGTGAATATCTCACTGCTGACTCCCCAAAGCCTGTCCACCATCTACAAGACACAAGTCAGGAATGCGATGGAATACTCTCCACTTGTGTGGATGAGTGCAGCTCCAACAGCACTCGACACTCCTCACCATCCAAAACAAAACAGACCCACTTAGTACTCCGTCTGCCCCCTTAAACATTCACTCCCTCTGCTACTGATGCACTGAAAGTGGAGAGTGTACACGCACACGCAAAATGCACTGCAGCAATTCACCAGTACTTCTTTGACAGTACCTCCCAAACTCACAACCATGACCATCCAGAAGGACAAGTGCAACAGATATATCGGAGCACATCCAAATGTAAATTCCCCTTTTAGCCACTCACCATCCTGACTTCGAAATATATCATTGGTCATTCCACTGGGTGGAAATCCTGGAACTCCTCCCTTAACAGCACTGTAGGTGGCCCTACTTCAAATTTACTATCCCAGCCCATGAAGGCAGCTCACTAGCACTTGCTCAAGAGCAAGTAGGTGGAGGCAATAAATGCTGGCATTTCCAGTGATACTCACAACCATCATAAGTAATAAAAAATTGCATCTTTCCGAGCTTTGAGAAAATGGACTACAGCAGATGGGATATTACAGAGCAATTGTTATATACCATGTTACTAATGAGAGGCAAGAACAATAACTCAACTTACAGGAGGGTGTATTGCTTACTCATTTGGGAGAAGTGGCAAAATTGTATAAGGGCCACGGTATATAAGAGACCCTGGTTCTAAAAGGGTTTTAATTCTTTAGATTCTGGTCCCCTCCTCCTACAACTCTTTTAAACTCAAAAATTGCAGCCTTTGCCATTCTGTCATAGAGGGGCCTAATTTCAGTCTGTGACTGTTTTACTCTGCTAAAATGTATCTGCCATCTGTAATGGTTGTAAGATGAGAACCAAGGAGACCGACACCGCAGTGTTGAGGAGATTTGTCGTATCTATTGTTTTGAGATGGGGCAGCTTGCCTGCTTCAGGTGAGTCCTGCTTCACTGCTCACCTTTACAAAGCCACTTTTTGCCTCCCTAATTATCACCAGCTGTCTAGGGGAAGTGGAAAGTAGTAATTTGCCTATATACAAACACAGTCTCCTCCTCATTTCTGTATGTTGTGTTGCATTGCGATAGGTTTGGCAGTAGTTACTTAACTATTCTGTGGTTGTTAAATGGACCCTATTTGTTTCAAATAGGCAGAGGGGCATATGCAGCAATTATTCACACTGATTTTTAATTCTCTACCACTTCTTCCCCTCCCACAGTCGCTGCTGTGACAAGAAAAGTTGTGGTAACAGGAATGAGACACCCTCGGACCCGGTGATAATTGACAGGTACGAACAATTGTTTACACTTTATTGTTGTGTGACACCTGCCGCTCTGTGAGTGGTTGAGGTACATTGCCTGGTTGTTGCGAGTGTACATGCAGGTTGCGTGTTATCTTGAATGTGTATAAACTCTCGGTCTTTCTTGCCCTGTCTTGTGTTCTTGTGATTGTGCGATGCACATGCAAAAAGTTTGGAAATTTGCTGGCATTTTGCGTCCCCTAAAAGCTGGAGATCATATTGACTCATGAAAGTGTGGAAATCCTTTTTGCTTGTATCTTTCTGACTCTCCCTCTCAGTGGTTTTACATAACTATTGCATCAGGCAGCTGAAAATACACGCGCACGATCATTATCATAAAGCCACTACCTTGTAGATTTGAGTGGCTGGAATCAGCAGATGTCAGACAGGCATTTAAGTGCAGAGCTTAGAATTCCTGGATGAACCTTTTGTTTTAAATTGATGCTGTGCTTTGTCACTGGAAGCATTGTAGAGTTGGAACTGGCTTCTCAGATGGCTCAATTTAGTGAATACACCACTAAGTATGAGACTCCCTGGTCCCTGTCAGGTTAGTGTGAGCTCAGTCTGAGTTGCAACAGAGAAGATTGCTGCGATTGGCTTCTGTATCCCTGGGGCATATGGAAGAGAGACCGGTCAGGCCTTTCGCTACTGTTCGCCAACCAAGTGATTCATACTGGAGAGTATACTTGAATGATGTTGGCTGAGAGCCTGGCCAGGTTGATGCTGTGATGAATTTCATGTTGAATTGCTCATTGGCACTCACATACAGTAAGCAGCCACTTGGGCAAGATACTGGAGTGTAATATCCTGCGAGGACATTGTGCTTCAGCATGGAACAGCAGCTTCAGTGAGAGAACAGATGCATGGACATAAAAAAAAGTGTAATGTTTTGAAGAATGAAGTAGCACTTTCAGATTGTGTCATTGCAGTAAGGTTGCTGAGCAGAGTGGCCTGTGTTTTGCACCATGCAGAGAGAGATCCCACATGCGTGTAGTCTTATTTTTTTGCACTCACTGAGGTGTGGAATAGGGAAAGCTGGAATTGAAGGTATCAGTTCAGTGGAACATTATTGCATGTGTCTGTGTCCAATCTGGTTACATTTGCAGATTGATACAGCTATTAACGTGTCAATGCCAGTGAAAGGCATTCAGCCCTTCACTTCTCACAACTGTTGTGTTATTTATGGCAGAGGTGGGAGAAGTTGTTTTTTCTTCCCACCCCCCACATTGACCAGACTGGGCAGAAAGGGCAGTGGTCAAGGAAGCATGTTACTGGCTTGATATCAGTAGGCTCAATGTTCAGCCAACCAGAGGGTGCCAGGAGCAATGACAGCCTGGTGGAGACTCTATGTCTATCAGCAAGTTGCCACTTCCAATGAGACTCTGTCTTAAGGTGGGTCTCAGTACTTCCTGAGGCATCACATTTATGTTCCACCTGGATCTGGGCCAGTAGGTTCAGAAAAGGTGGATGGAGTTCGAGACATCTCTTTGGGGAAGATCTGAGGCAGAAAGTCCCTCAGGGGACTGTATTTACTCCCACCCTTTCTGAGAAGACTGCCAGGTTTTAGAAGCATTTCTTGTGCAATGATGAACTATTTAGCAATTGAACAATGGAGCTGGTTGGGTCACCAAAGTCTGAATGACGTTGTAAGAGTTGTTTATGCTTCAATCACATTCTTTTCTTTCTTTATAAATTAAGACCAGATTTCCACATGGTTAGAACCACAAGCAGTACACTTTTCCGTGGACACAACTTGAATATTGGGATCATGGGTTTGTGCCCATTATCACTTGCTCAGGATAAAGGGTTAAGGAACGATTTCCCTCCCTGCCCCCTTTTTAATGGGCACAGGCCTCTTTGGGAATGCTATAAGAAACATGGATTCCAATCAAACAGATATTTGAATCATGTCTAGGGCTGGGAAATTCCTGACTTCCCACATAGTGGGTCCTCCCCTTGAATGTGGGGAAGGGCTGCAAGAGGTAATTAGGTAGGCAGGAGAACCCTGTGGGATTAAATTTTGATCAATTAGGCCGAGCGATCTGTTTATGTGCTGGATTTTCTCCATAACGTGACCTGCAAGGGCCTGAATGTGGAAATGCCATTGCTGGACCATAGACAAAGGAGGATTTAAGTTTCCCTGGGGTCTGGCCAGGAAAGTAAGGCGGCCTGTGGGAGTCCTTTGCTGAGTAAAAACAGCCAGCTAGCTTTGCTGTAGGCTGCAAATCAAACCTTCCACTCTGGGTAGCTGAAGGCCTCAGATGCCATAATGCACCAGCACCAGCTCCCAAAGGCCAATGGGACTTATTTTTATTCCGGTGCCTTGTTTGGGACTTGCACAGAAAGTTCCCAACCCTGGGAATTGTCTCAGGACTCGCGTAATTCCAATTCTCAGCCAGGTGGTGATTTATTGGCTGGTGCTGATGGATTTTGGCACTGATCTGTTGAACCTTTGCAGGCTGCTGATCCTGACTCGATTTGCTGATCTGGCAATGTAATTTAGGCTTTAGATGACTGGGGTGCACTGCAATTGAGAGAACAAAATAAACCAACTGGGTTATGAACAAAAAGGATCTTGTTCTTCTCTGTGGAAATTTCAAAAAAGGATGCAGACATAATGGGAGGGAAACTTGGCGAGGGGTCAAAACCACTTTCAGCTGCAAGAGCTCCTTGTTGGCTGGTCCTAAAGATCTGACAGGACATCATTTGACCAGGGCACCTCATAACGTGCATTCAGAGCAATTAAAGATCTGTTCCTGTCTCAGGGTGGGTGTGGTAACCACCGTGTGCACATCTCCCTTCCTTTCAGTGTGTTCTGTCAACTCTTGTTCTGTAATGGGAACATCAGCTAAGAGGAAATATTGTTGGGATGGGCGTTTGCTGGATGATGTGGTGTGAAAGACAAACTGGGTGGGTATGGCTGCCTGTGGGGGGTGGAATTAGCTCTCCTCATTGATCATATAGACCTTAACATGGTAGATCTACATTTTAATAATGTCCATATGTTGCAGGTAGTTTGGGGGTCACTTGACTGAACAGTTTTCTGGTAGGGAATGAGTGTTTCCCTTCACTGCATTTTGTGACACCCAAGAGTACCATAGAACACCTTACAGATGTGTAAGTCTGGATGATTGACACAAAGGCCAGTACCAAGCTCTTGACTCTACAAAGAGCCTCGATACTGGGGTATCTTTCAGAAATGCCAAGTTTCAGATCTGATGGAGAAGTTCAACCACCACCAATACTTTGAACTCCCTCCTTTAACACTTTCCTCATTCTCCATTCACTGCAATGGGATTCCAGGCTTGCACCTCACTGCTGCAATTTATTAATGATCCTGACTGTTTTGATTTTAATGTGGATTTAGTTTGGATTCTTCTGTGTCTGAACGGATGTTGGGTGTTAATGCTTGTCATTGATCTATGATGGATGCAACACTTGGGATTTAGCTGGAATTGCTGTGAAGTTGTTTGTGATGTATAACTGGGGTAGAGGCTGTTCCACATGTGGAGTTTTGTGTCTCTCTCTTTTCGCTTGGACATTTCCTGATTCTTTCCACACATTGAGTACAGAAGTGACCTATCCTCTGCAAAAAGAAAGAACAAGTTGGGGCATTGTGCCATTTTTGAATTGAACAACAAAAACATGGTGGAGGGGGCGTGGAGGTGGAAATAGGATTTCCCTGGTGCATTGTCTATGCCAATCAATCAGCATCCTTTTCTCATGCAGTATAAATTGTTGCTCTCTTTGAAATTTGGCATTCTTGTGTTTGTCCTGATGAGCTCATGGTGAAAAGCTTTGACAGCGTGTGTCTTTCATCAACAGTAAACTTTCTTTTTATTTGTTCTGCTAAAGACCTTTGCCTCTCAGGGGCCTGGTCCCACTGGCACTGTGCCACCCTGTAGAACTGCACAAACTTGTCTCATTGTTGGCATCCTGGGTGTCAGCACAGGGGATCACTGGGCACTGAAGAAGAGAAGGAACCCAGGGTCACTCAGACCAGCTATCATGCTGCTGCTGCCCTGGATGACATCAGCCAACTCCCCATTGACTAGCAAAGGGCATCTGTTTCCTCCTTGTCTCTATGGATCAAACAGTACAATTGGTGATGATATTAGGTACTGATCTACAGGAGGGACTCTGTCCTGCCAGCTTTACATCCTTGTTGTATGGATGTGATGGGACTTTAACCGAGATATATTACAAGCAAAATAGTAAACCTAATTTAAAGGGCTCTCTTCCTCAATAAGAAATTGGCAAGTGGAAAGAGAGAGAGAGAGATAAGAGAATGGAGGTATAGATTGCAATGGCCGTGTTGATTTCAAATCAAGTGCTGGAATTCTTCACCGTTTTCATCCCAATGTCAGGCCTTTGTTGATAGATGAGGAAAGCTTCTGCTAAGCACCTCATGTTCCTGCAAACAGCTTCCTTTTAATAGTAAGCCATCAATGTAAAACAAAAAGTTTGCTGACTTATCGTCTCTAAATCACTGGCCCCTATTAACATTGGACGGAGGTGATGCAGGGATGGAAACAATTAACGCAAATTGCTCTTTTCAGCTGAGAAAGGCTTGTTTGTTTAAAAAAACAAATACCTGGTGACGTTCAAACTTAATTTTATGTGAACTGCATGGGATAGTTGCAAAGAGGGTATAATTTTTATAATGTATCCCAGTAAAGCTGGTACTGTGAGAAGTTAGGAATGAAATCCAGAGATTGAGATATAATGAGAGACAGATTTTTTTGAGTTTAGCTACTCCAGACTTCTCTGCTGAATGATACGGTGGGAGAACAACTTTGAGTGATTAGTGATGTGTGTATGCGCGCTGTGTATCTGGATTGAGTTACCTGTTTCGAATTAGTGGGGCTCCTATTGTTCTTGATGAGCCCTTGCCCCAGTAGGATAATTAAACTCTTCCTAAGCCTTGGCTAACCTGCCAATTTAAGCAAGATTGCTTGCAGAAGAAAGCTGATGCTGTGGTTCTCTGT